ATTTGATTCTGAAAGGTGTGCTTCATGGTGCATCAGATTTGCATAACACAAATGGCGGGCAGTGTTACCTGTGGTTATAGCAATACAGCTCCAAATATAAGTGGCCAACCTGGGCACTATTTTGTATATTAAGGAAAACAATTTGTGCATCAGTATTGCAAGTAAGAGATAATGCAGCACAAACCAGGTTTGCAACAACACGTGTTTCAAGCATTGTGGAACAAAGAGAGAAATAAAAATCATAACATTAATTTGAAGGAATTCATATACACCCATTTCTTACCATGGGACATGCTTCCAGTACTAACCATACAGCAAAATATGAGTACCTGAAAAAGAAAGTTTTAAGGGCCATCTGAATTCTTAATCTTACAACGTGTTTTGAATTTAGGTGGCTAATCTCTTCCTTCAAATATCTTGTGTATATTTGGCCCCAGGAACTCTTTTTTAGATTTTTACAATTTGACAGAAAGTATAACACTTGAACTAAATTGAGCTCAAGAGGTCAAGTGCAGTAGAACCATCTGCATTCTAGCAATATGCAGGAGACAAGTTGGGACATCAATGGGAAATATATTGGGACATCTCCTTATTTGAACTTGTATGCCACAATATGTTGTATTAACTAAGATATACTTTCAATTTGTGAAAAAAACCTTTATTAAAAAATTAGAAGATTATTCTCATCACACATTAATGACGCAGTATGAATTGTTGGCGTCTGGTATAAATCTGCTGGCCCCTCATAAAAGACAGAGGGATTATTCTCATATTTGTTAAAATGTTAATGCTTTATTGTTGTTAGCCCCAGGCTTATCTCAATGCCAAATTTATGACAATTCTATCATGTGAAATGAAAAAAAACTTGTTGAGAATCTGAGGGAGTCAGGAAGGAGACCGATTTCAGGTTGCTGAAAGCTCTTGCAGAGTTGTTGGTGTGGTTGCTTCCAAAGCAAACCAAGTTTGAAGTATCTAGTGTGACCTTTTCAACTGTGATTTCACTGATAAAAAATTCTGACCAAAACTAGAGGCAAAAAGCGTTGGAGTCAGTTTTTGTCTTTCACTAGAAATTTCAGTATTTTGTCTTTTCCCGCACTCCTATTAAGGGAAAATTCATCCAGTGTTTTTAAAAAAAATATTTAGCAATTACACAATGAATGCTAAAAGAACTAACAGAAAATTGAAGAGGAAATAAAATCAACTTACATGTGGTGTATAAGGCACAACACAAAAATCGATTTCACTTCTAAGGCAAAACTATAGTGTGGCCTCACATTTTCACATTGGATTACATCAGAAAAAACACCTTTGTATTCTTAGCATGGAATGATTTTCATTTTCTAGGCAAAGGGTTATGTCGGTAACATCTCAATTCTGATATTCTGAATCTTAGTCTTTTACTAAGGCTAAACAAAATCTAATCAAACTTAATTAATACAATTTTACTAAGAAACCTTCTTTACTTTGGTGGTTATAAACAAGTATGGTAATCTTTGCTCTCCACAACCCCACTGATACAATGTTTTAAGTTATTTAGCAAAACCTGCTAATAAAGACATGAGTGAGTGCACTGTTTCATTAGGTTTTTTCACTTTTACTTCATCTGGTGAATGTTTTTCTACAGGATTGCTGAAGGTGAAAGATACAGTGAGACTGAATTGCTGTTTCTTGGCATATGCAACTAGGTGGTGGTACAGAGTGTATCCATTGTGCAGGAGCTATCACATCATTGGGCACAAAGGCTGAACTTATGGTTGGCGAGTGGCTGCTCAGAAGCACTCATGTGCAATGTCTTCATACTGTATATCTAAGACTACACATACACATTTTGAAATGCCGTTCGACAATTACTCAATGTTTTTATTTAAAAAGGATTTTTCGGCAGAATTTGCTACTTGTCAAGCCCGTACCATGGTGTGAACGCTATGAAGAGGAATTGAGGGTGCATTTTGAATCCCATGACTTTGTCACGGTGTGGCAAAGAAGCTGAGTAATCAGTCTGGCAGGCTGGACGAGGGGGCCCTTTAAGAGACAGTCCAGGGAGCTACTCTGTGTGCTATTGGCCTTGGACTAATGACAATGTGAGAAACAACTCTGACTCACTGCCAGTTTGTCTTAAGTGCGGCTAGAATTATTGGAACTAAAGCTGCTGAAAACACATTATCCTAGGCTATGTGCTTGCTATTCTCACATTATTTATGTTTTCCTGCATGTGAGTATCTGTTTTTTTATTTAACAATAACACATGAAGGCTTTTATTTTTTCCGTCAAACAATACATGTCGTCAGCACAGAGACTGCAGTTAAAACCTGTTCCCCCCCTAATGCAGTTCGCCCTAGTTTTCCAATTCTGCTCGTGACACTTTCATTTGGATATGCAAATCCATCCAGATGAACTGCGGCGGTGTGGAGTGTGGGGGGTGTTTGCTGAAAGACGTATAACAACGGTTAGTTCTGCCAGGAGACGAATCCCCTGAAGTTTTTGCTGGGGCACATTTGTTTCACACACATCGATGCACCCGTACTGCACACACACATAATCACACATCTCCATAATGCGTTTCACTAGGTAGAACAACACAGGCAAATGAAGTGTCCTGAAAGGATTATGGGGTGGAACCCTCTTGGTTGAGGACTAGCCTCCTGGACAGGGGACAAGGAGGCTGGGACCCCCCCTGCAGAGTGAGGGGAGACCCAGGGGCAGCTGCAGAGGGAGAGATTGGGTGCAGATGGGATGCAAAACACGTATGCGTGGGAGAGATGGGGTACAGGTAGGTATTTATAGTGTTTTAGGGGAGGAAAGGACGTCGGGAGCGATTTGCTAATCGCTGACAACTGAGTCTGATTGAACTTGGTTGCTGTCATCCCTCCCAAACTTTCATTCCAAACTCCATAACCTGGAGTTAACGCGTGTCCCTCAATACTTTTACAGTCTCAATCTTTTTCTTTGCTGTTTAGTTGTGGTAGATAACGTTTAGCTAATTGACACAGAAATCTAGAACGGTTCCTGTAGAGCACCTGCCCTGTGGCTATTCCATCTCACTCAGGTATTTATTAAAGTATTTATTGGTAAAATTGTGTATCCTATCTTCACTTTCATGTACTATCATCTTATATTTTGTATATGTGTTATTTGTGATCTGTACGGTATCTCTGTGGTCTCGGGCGCACCACAAAAAAACTCCCAACAACGACTTCGAATTTGACAGAAAAGGTGGTGACATCGGTGTGAGCCACTCGTAAAACCTCACAGATCTGAAACATGTCTCTTTCTGTCGAGGACCCTTCAATGTTTAATCCCTGTGGGCCTGCGTCACATCAGTAAAGGTGTTGGGTGAAAGAAGCTTTTGTGTGGAGGTTTGCATGGCAAAGCAGGTCCCTGCGACAGTGGGAAGCTGAGCGGGCAGCCGCAGCCCGCGGTTCGCGCAGAGGGGGAGAGGGAGCAGGGCTGGGAAGGGTTAAGTGCTGAGCGGCTGCCGGGCTGGGGCTCGGCAGGTAGAGCAGACAACGAGGGAGGAAACCGCGAGGCAGACCAGAGACACCCCTGCGCGCCGGGCCTGAGACGTGAAGCCGGTGTCGCCGCTGCGGAACAGACACACCATTCACTCCGCGGCGTGCTGGGAAACCACAGAGCAAACACAAGCCAAGCGTCCACGGCCACCGAGGGGAACAAAAACGAACAAGTCCAGGGCCGCGGGCCCCTGCGGTGGCTGGGGGGTGTAGTGCGTACTGTTCCCCAAAGGTCCCCGGCCTGAGCGCAACAGCTGGCGCCGCAGCTCATGGGAGTGTCATCTGCAGTTTGCAGGCGATCAGAACATCTGCAGCTGGACAATAACCAGCCAAACTGCACTTCTGTAATACTACACGCAGTACACCAGATGAATGGTTATCACCTTGGCAAAATGCTGCTCTGACTTTCATTGTTTTCATTATTTTGTTGTGTTTTATTTTTTTTAAAAGCTGGAATTAGGAACACAAGATGCATTTATAGCTTCACCAGAGGCCTAAACAAATAACCTTGTTTGACCTACAAACATTCAATTACAGTTCCTCATAAATACAAATTTAATACCTTTAAGGTTGCTTTAATGCACACATTGATTGATTAAGAAAAAGAAAGTGGAAAAAAGAGAAAGTGTGTTCTTTCATGTGTGCCAGAACTACAACGGCTTTGTGTGCTTTATTCTCCAATGTTAATCCCAAACCTTTAATGAATGAGGATGACTTGCCCTGAACCCTACTGGAAATACAGCGGTGATGATAATCCCTGCAGATGGATTTTTGGGTCTTGAAGTACACTATGTTCTATTTTTTAAAGATTTTGAACAGGCTAGCATTTCTTTCAAGCCACATACTGTACAATGAGTGTATGCTGGAGATATGCAATGGCAGTGTGAGACTGGTGGACACGAAGAAAGATATGATGTCTCCTGGAGCTCCATCACTTTGCCACTCAGAGACCTGGGGCTACTGATACACGGTAAAGCCAGGCAGGGTGTCAGCCAGCCCTCAAGTTTGACAAAGTTTTTAAACATGTACACTGAAAACGTCTGACGCTGCAAAGCTAGTGGTGTACAGTATAGTTCAGTTGGTCTTACTTGTTAAAATTCCCCTTCAGACAAATATTTTACTTTCTTCTCTGTACCCAAGGTCTTACAGTACCCCCCCCCCCCCCCAAAAAAAAAAAAAAAAAGCTGTTATGAGTCCCTGGATGTGTTTCGTTTTTTATGTTCCTTTTGTTTTCTGAAAATAATCCTCTTTTCCAAATGTTTGCCAAGTAGCTTCCAGGAAAGAACGATGCCTTCCTCTTCTTTTTGGCCTGCACGGTCCTCTACACAGACTTTCGCGTCCCTGTGATCAAATCCAAGCTTTCTTCGTGTTTTTTTTTTTTCCGCGTCCACGGTAAACATCGCCCACAAAACCATGATACCGGCAGACATCCATTACCTGAGTCACATTGCCGGCACAGACCACACATCGAGTATTTACACATCACACTTTTTAAATACACACTGTGGATGCATTGAAATGTCTTTGTTGTTTTCTGGGTACAGATTTTTCTTTGCGGGGACGAGACGACGTTGGTTCCATCCTTCCCCACCCCCCTCACTAATGAAATTATTCCACAAGGAGGTTGTACGCTGACTGATTCGAAAACATTTAGCTAAAGTGCTTCTTGAATGTATCACTGCCGTGTTATCTTGGAAGCTGTCAGCTGAGACTCCAGAGTGGCCCGGCTCTGCTACTCTCACATCCCCAGGGATTTCGGTCTCACAGCAGGAATGTGGGCTAGAGAAACCGGCTCCACACGGCCCTCCACTCACTTACCTACAGTCAAGCAGCGAAGGGTCCCCGAAGGACTGTCTTCTGAAGCAAGTGTCCCGTAAGTAGTCGGAGGTGGCCAGGCTAATTATTCACCAGCCATTGATGCCGCAGAAGCCGTGAGACCCCTGTGCTGCAAGGCCAGCTGAGGGGTCCTCTAGAGCCAGAGGAGCTGCCCCGTCCTGAGGGTTTTGGATCAGGAAAAGCCTTATTGTGACAGGTGCTTCACAAAGTGATAACCGGAAAGCTAACAGCAAAGGGGAAAGTTACTGATACTGACGCAGGGACCAGGCGCAGGCACTGGAGTACTCTTGGCACTTGTTTTCTGAATCCATAAGCTTCTTCCAGTTTCGGGTGTTAAACGCTTGCTGCCACTGAGGTCTGCTCCAAAACTGCAAATGGATCCCCAGCTGTACTTCTGTACTTCGCCATCCAGCCCAGTACAGAAGTGAGACGACCCCAGCAGCGCGGAGACCACACACACCTCATGCCGCGGTCACTCGCCATCCACCGGTGTCTGTGGAGATATGGAACCGCTCGTCGTCTTCCCACACACAGGGAAGTCTGCCTCCTGACCTGCTGTGGCCTGCGTTTCAACCCCTTTGAGGGTGTTTTATGAGCTAACCACTTCCTATAAACTCCTGAAGCTGACACACTTGCCCTGATCTGCTGTCTTTAGTGGCGCACTGACAATCATGCCCCTTGTTACACCACTTACACCAGACATCCTACAAACAGGACCAATCCTCATACTTTACTTTAAAAAGAATGGGGATATAACCTCCTATTAAATTTCAGTGATACTCTCTGGATGCATTCTTTAAGTGTTTTACACGTAACACACTTAATCCATTCTGAGAGCACTGACCTGTACACCAAGTAAACTGTAACATGTTATGTAAGGAGCCTATTAACCTTCCCTGGGATTTTGAGAGTATTTGAAGTTTTCTGGTCCTGTGTAATCAAGGTTTTGACCTCTCGTGCTTCAAAATTTCACATTTGTTTAATCTAAAACCATAATATTGGAATGATATAAACCAATCTCTGGCTTTGTGATGAGTGAACTATTAACTTTACAGGCCCAAGCATGAACACAGACATCGACAGCTGGGGATCCATTTGCAGCTTTGGAGCAGACCTCAGTGGCAGCAAGCGTTTAACACCCGAAACTGGAAGAAGCTTATGGATTCAGAAAACAAGTGCCAAGGTACTCTGAAATCTACAGAAAAATGACATGTCTTATCATGCCTGCAATTGCTTTACCACTATATTCTGCTGATTTTTTTTTGTTTTAAGGAGGAAAACAGCCAGTCTAAGACAGAAGCCACTTATGCACATGGTTTTAAAAAATAACATTAACACCGCAGCTCCTACTGTACATCATACTGAAGACACCTACAATAACATTGGCTTGAAGCAGTATCAGTCAGTAATGTATATGTTCACCATTACTCTGTTTCTCTGTTTTTCAAATTTGTGGTATAAAAAATTACTTATAAGACAGGGAATGCTCTCTGCACATCCACTTTAGCAGAAATAGTTCTTGTTTTTGTTTCTATTTTAAAGTATGCAATGTGTTCAGTGCAACAGTTTTTAAAAGTAATAAGATTAAACAAGTGGTAGTCCTCAAAGCTCTTCAAATCTCAGGAGTGCACTAGAAATCTGAACTAATTTAGTTCTGATGTAGGGCTCAATACTTATATACTTTCTCACCTGTTGGTTGACATTCAACTTCTTTCACATGTTAAAGTTCTTATAGTGTATTAAAGATTTGATTAAACATTAATTGAAGAAAATTTGTATATGTTTGAAATTAATCAAAATGGGATATCTTTGGTGAATACTTTTGCAAGGATTAATTGATTTTTTAAAACAAAACTTTTTGTTCCCTTTCTGAGTGTTATCATAACATTTTAATATATCTGAGAGAGTGCATATTGTTTAAATGTCCTTTTCAGATACCCAAAACACACCAGGAGTTTGTCTAGTGCTGCGCATCTATTTATATCTGACGAGCCTATGTTCTTTTGTAGTTCAAGTAGGGAGCTGCGTCAGCGTGCGTAGGCTGCAGAGGAACAAGTAAAGGTTTATTCCCTGGTGAAACGCCTGGAATGCATTGAGTCTTAAATGAATTACTAAAAGTCTGATCAGTGGCTGGAACCATGAGCCGCAAACAGCCATATTAAATGTGATGTATCGAGGCTCTACTCAAGATCACTACTCAAGGTCTAAGTCTTATGACCATGTCATCCTTAACGTCTAATTCTTTGCCATGTCATGTGTAAAAAGCTTGGCGCTTACTAGTACTCGAGAATTAAGGCAAGATATTTTTACCGTCAGTATCCTTAAAGCTCCTGACAATTATCAGGCCACTAGGGGAATTATAATTCTGTGTATTCCTGAAACATTTAATTTTAATTTTCCATTTAATTGTAATCAATAGAAGATTTCACTAAGCTTTCTACAAGTACAGATGCAACATTGTGTGATCATCTTCAAGGACCCTCTGTGTATCACTAAGCCCTGCTTTGTTCTCTCCATTTTGTTTTTGAGTCTTTGCTGTATTCGTTGTGGAACATTAAAAAAACAGAGAACTTTAAGACCCACCTCTGAGTGGCTGAAGTTCATTTTGTCTCAGCCGCATGGTAGAGATTGAAGAGAACCAATAGAAAACACTGGGTCAGCTTGCCTGGGAGGTAGTGAAAAAGAGCCTCATTAACAGTGACCACAAAACCTCTACAACATTGTGTGTTTGTAACATTAATTATCTTTATTTTTCCTCATAAAGTTCAGATCACTTTTTTATTGGCTGTATATAACTTCTTGTATTAGGATCTTGTCTTTTCACATACCCCACCTTGCTCTCCATGAGACACAGACAGGGAGAGAAGCTGAGGGTCAGAGCACAGGGTCAGCCATTTATACGGCACCCCTGGAGCAGCTGGGGTGAAGGGCCTTGCTCAGGGGCCCAACAGAGTAGGATTCCTCAGTCGGCCACGGGATTCAAACCGGCAACCTTCCAGCCACAGGCGCAGATCCTGAGCCACAGAGCCACCACTCAGCCCCTAAGGGACTTGTGATACAAGGGACTTGCATTCACGACATCACCTGGATCTGAATGCAGAATCAGTCAGGAGAGGTGGATGGGAGAGGTGTGTTGGAAGTGTGTGCCTCACAGCTCCAGTGTGCTGGACTCCATTTTGTTCTGGAGAGTCCTCCGTGCTGAGTTTCCATGTTTCCATGGCTCCACGAGACCTAGAACCGGATGGATTAGGACTCATGTCAGAAATCATGTCTCTGAATTGCTACTGTGTGTGCCCTGCAATGCACTGGCATCCTGTCACCTCCTGCCCTGTGCTTCCATGGCAGGCTTCAGACTGGCACAGTGCCTGGCAGGAGCAAGTCGCTTTCTGGCAGTGGATTAGTGTAACAAGCAAATTAACTTGTAGTTTAGTGCTGAAATCACAAGTTAAAGCAAATATATTGTGCTGTTACCTGGCCCATGATGTCAGCCTTATCCTTAATATGTATTGATCTGGAGAACCTATTTTAATGGCTCGGATCATTAAGCACAGCAGGAGGCCCTGTATCATTAGTTTAGACGATTATATTATCTACGGTCCTTTATTTTAGGGCTGATTAATGCAGGGGGGAATTTGACTAAAGCTGTTTGAGGGAAGCGAGGATCTCTCACAGCTGCCTCCACTCCAGCAGGAACCGGAGACTTCCTGGAGGTCCGAGCAAGATCTCAGACTCGTGGAGAAACTGAGAGTGTGGGCCTGTCTCAGAGGGATGACGGCCTAGTACCTGCAACCTGAATAATCAAGGTGAAGCCGGACACTTCTCTTTGCAGTTGCTCAAGGCAACGCCTGTCACACACACCACTCACAGTCAGCACGGTTTCTCCATTAGCTCCTGGAGACCCACTGGTCTGCGCCCGACGTCTGTGCCAGCTCACCTTTTCTCCTAGTATAGCTACATGGACTTTTCTTCGGCTGTTTAATTATTTTATTTTCTCATAGACATTATTAACAAGAAATGTTCCCATAATGCTTTGCCTTTGACATTTAATTGCTGTAAACGAAAGGTGGAATAAATGTGGAATATAAACAGGAATGTCTGTGCTTCACACAGGAGTGTTTGTTTCTCTCTCGCTTGTCATACCGAACAATTGTGTTTATCTTCGAAACAGTTTTAGAGACATTAATTAAGGATCCAGATTTCATGCATGGAAAAAATACAGTATGAATTAAATAAAACATTAATTTGACAATGGAATCTCACAGACTTTCAGTCAACTGTGGTTATATTATCAGTATCTTACGGAAGCTAAAAAGAAAAAAAAGAATATTCAAACAGTTGATCTGCCATTTTCATTCCTGCCTGAAGGCTTACAAAAATATTGGTAGTAAACAGATCATGTCAGAGATATATTGCAAATATTTTCGTCTATAGATATGGAACCACGGTTGTTAGAAAGCTAGAAATTGAAAAAATGTTCTTGATCCATCTTTCTGGAAGTTTGTACATTCAAATGTCTTTTTTATAATCCTAACTAATTGCTTATTCCATATTTGCTGAACTTACATTATAAAAGCAACAAATTATATTTGTTTTAGTACTTCTGTTTTGCAGTGTTCACACCCTTAGTATCAATACATTTCTGTCAAACAATACATTTCTATCAAACAATTTGTTGTGCTGAGTGATCACAACTCATTCAGCGGTCCTGATGAAAATGATAGCAGTACCATTATGGGGCTATATCAGATCTCAGACATTTGTAAGACCTCCATACACATAAACATATAGGTGCATGTACACCTACACATACATGTACATGTAGACATACGCATATATACAATATGCACACACACACACACATATATATATACAGACATGTACACATGCCCCCAGGGAAAAGCAGCTTGCTGCTATAAGAGCAGGTGGCATTTTTTCCGGCGGGACCAGAATTTCCCAGACTGATTCCCCAGTACAGTGACACTGCTGTAGGAGCTGGCGTCCCTGGGGTGAGATGTTTAAGCAAGGCCTTCACCAGGTGGTCCTTAGAATCAGCTCAGCGCGTTGTGAAATAGCAGAGGTATGAACGCTGGCGTCCTGGTACAGCTTGGTCCCCAGTGTCCTGCTGCTGTGCGGCGGGGCTCCTGGAGCCCGACTCAGGGGCTGCGGCGCTTCCGTAGGGAATGATGTGTGTCCATCCTTCAAGCTCAACTGCCCTGGGACCCCTGTGGAGGAAAGGTAAGGAATTATTACCAGGAAACTACAGCAATTCTGTGTTATTTATTTAAATTATATTATGTATTAAATTATTAATTAAGCTTTATGCAGTGGTCTGCCTGGTCAGCCTTTATGATCTCTTTATGTTGACTTCAGCGCTGCTGGATGGAGGCAGTACAAATCTAAACATAGTACTTATAATTCATCAAAACGTGGTCTCATTAACTGGGAGTACATACTTTTGCAAGGCGCTGTGTAAGGAAGAGTCATGGTTTTTGTCTCTGTTTATGTGTGCTACCAGTAATAGGAAATAAGAAAGGAAAAAATGTTCTTGACGGAACGCCTATATGAGTCAAGATAATTTTTTTTGTGGCATTCCTGGGTTAACCTAAATGTAACAGGTGCTAGCTGAACTTCTCCTGCATGTGTGTTACACAGCAGTCATAGGCAAAACAAAGTAAAATATCTACATTTTATCCCTTTGTTTTTCAAAAGAAATAAAAAAACTTTGCCTATATGTACCTTTCTCAGCAGGAGTTAAAGCTAAATATTGTGTCTGAAGCAGAAGGAGCGTTTTGATTAGCTGTTACACAGTAACAGTTTTCCTCTCTTATTCAAAAATCAAAAGGGCCATTTCAGTCCTGCCCCACAGCTGGACTGGCCACATGACCCCTGGCAACACCGGCCATCAGTACACTGGAGAGTCTATCCTTTCCTCTGTTTGCTCACACGCCCATCCAGCCTGCGAAGTCAGCTGCTACAGGCGACACGCTGCCACTCTTCAGATGCCCCATGGGAAACCTGGGCTCATGTCAAGAGCTGAACAAGTACACATAAGCAATCACTTTCTAGGTTCAAAATGTGTAGATCCATTTGTAACCCTGTTCCAGACATCCCCGAACTTCTGAATCTTGTTTGCTTTTTTTAATAAGATTGAATTATCTTATGGGAGGCACAGTGGTTAGCGTTATTACCTTGTAATAATCCGGGGGCCCTTGGTCAATCCTGGGCCGATATCTGCAGGGAGTTTGCATGTTCACCCCGTCTTTGCTTGAGTTTCCTAGGGGTGCTCCAGTTTCCTCCCACAGGCGAAAGACATGCTGGTAAATTAATAGGCTTCTGGACAAAGTGATGTGAGTGTGTGCGTGTCCGTGTTTGTGCCTGTCTGTTCTGCGATGAACTGGTGTCCCGCCCAGGGTGTACCCCTCCTTGCGCCCACTGTTTCCCCTGTGACCCTGAATTGGAAGAGGCGGTTAGAAAATGTATAGATTGGCGCATAGTGGCATCACTTCTAAAAGAGTGTATTTACCCAGCACACAGAAGGCTTTTAAGCACTTGAAGATATAAATAACCTTATATTCAGTTAAAAAAATGTAGTCCCGAAATTCCCCTGCTGTATTGCTTCGAGGGTGAGTTCCCAAAAGTTTATTCACGTTCCACAATTCCACATAAGTCATCCTTCACGTTAAGTCTTTTTTTTCACATAGCCACACGAGCGCAAGTCCCAGTGATTGTCCTTTCCCTGCAGTGTCATCTTCACGAAACGATCTGCCTGTTTTTATTTTTGGAAGTCTATCTCGTGTTTCTGAAGTCATCCGGGTGGGCCTGTGTTGATCAGTGCGGTGGCAGTAGCACTCAGATCCTCGGCAGATTAGACGGAGTAGGTCCGGGCCCTCATTCCGCTCGCGGCTCAGACGGCATGAGTGATACTTTCCAGACCCAGAGAGGTTTCCCCCTTCCACTTTAAAAGGCATACTTCGGAGCTATCTCATTCCGAACAAAGGCCTCATCTGAAGCCGACTATTTATTTTGGTATCCATAGTGTTTTCCTTTAAACAGTAAATTGGGAAAACACGAAGGCCGGTCCAGTGTGTGGGAGAATGCTCTGCGCACAGTCCCAGAGAGGGCCGGAGGACATGGCGGGGGCCGCAGAGCAGCGCGGGGCCTCACCCCTGCTGCTCTCCGCGATGAAGTCAGCCTGAGGGCTCGGAAACCGATCCAGCAGCGGGCTGCGAGGAAGGGGGGTGGGGGAGGGAGAGGGAGCCCCGACTCCGCGCTGGGGAGACTGGGAGACGGGGAGGTGTCAGACTGGGGGCAGGAGAGCTCGTCCCGGTGCGTGGCCGGTGGAGAGACCCAGGCTCCAGGGCTCCGCCGAGGGGGCAGACAGACAGGGATTTCGACATGTTACAGATTGGGTGTACTGTACAGGAAATCTGACATTTCTGCGAGACGAGCCTAGGAACCGTCTCCCCCCTCCGCCTCCTGCTTCCCCTCCTCCTCCCCCAGCCACCTTCCTTTGCTCTTACAAGTGCTGGAGAAAAGGGTTAAATAAATGTTAGCGATGTGATAAGGTGCTTGTTTACTGAGGGACTGACAGATTGTTGGCTCCAGGGCTGTGGCTGCTATGATGTTATCCCCCCCCCCGGCTCCGCCGTGCTCTCCCTCACTCTGTCCTCCTCGCCCCGCTGGAAAGAGAGACCTGCAGGGGGCGACGAGTGAATGAGTGGAGAAATAAGAGAGAGAGAATGACAAGGGCAGTGCAGCACGAGGAGAGTGTACTCTTTAACACTGCGCGAGGACCAAACACAAACTGCAGCACAAGCTATTTGAACAGTTACTGTTCGGCCAACCGGGCTCAGGAATAACCCCTGTTCTATTTTTGTACTCAGGCGCCACACAGGTGTCTCCCTGCGGCTTAAGAGAGCAAACCATTTTTGCTCTGAAAATGAACTTGGCAAACAATTCCATTTGTGTCATTCAAAGGAAAGCATGACTTTTTTTTTACTCTAGAGAGAAGGGCTGGAAGTGCAGGTGACTGGGAGACGATGTTCTGCCCACTAAGGCAATGGTAACCTCTTTTCAGGATTTCTTTCGACGATGTAAGCCAAACTGTTTGTTCAAATGCAAAATGAAGAGAGAAAAATAAACTGAAATTAATATAAACTGCCACGTGGGCAAAGTGGATAGTCCTGCAATGCTCTTCTCGCGAGATTGAGGCACATAGCAGCAAGCCTCGAGCAGGGCCAAAGACAAAGTCTAACTGGATAAGGGCTCGGGCTCCGTCACTGGCATCCAGTGCTAGACTTTTCTCTAAAGGCCATCCCCTTCTTATATATATAAAATGATATTACCATTATTTATATATGTAAAGTTAGATGAAACAGGCCTTCACTTTTGAGACTTCTAAAGACACATTGTGATTGCGGAGTATCAGTTTAAGTCCAGTTATTTAAGTCATACTATATTTTTTTTCTGCCTGGCATGAAACAAAATAGTATTTAGTGCTTCAGGAAATTCACGACCTGTATGTACGTTGTGCTGTTTTTTATTATACTCGCTTTACTGCTGCAGCAGAACAGTGGAAAAGGTCTTTTCTGGCAGCAGGATTCAAGAGGAAACAGTTGAATGAATGAATGGGAGAGAGATAAAAGAGGAATCAATCCAATGCTTTGTTATGCTTTGAGGTTAGCCAGGGCATCAGCCACTATCAGGTATGTGGAAAAACACTCATCATCATCATAAACATTCTGGTATGAATTTGCCACACAGCCATAGTGCAGAAATCATGGAAGAAAGCTTGATTCGGCCTGCATGGGGCTCCCTGGGGCTGGGCTCAACAGTGATCAGCACCGAAATCACTGGGAAAAGGACCGTTCCAATTAGTAATACAAATAAATTAGGGTTTTCAAATTGAATTAAAATGCAACAGAAACACACCAGCTTAACACACGTCCGTAAACGTAAAATACCCTAAGTGTTCAGGGATAATAAATCACAGCAGTTCTGTAGGCTAATGTTAGACAGGCTTGAGACTGTGCACGTAGTTGCTAACTCTACTGTTGGTTCAGTCTGCTATAAGCAGTTTTCTTGCCTGTATT